CCGAAGACGTATGCTGATAATATTACGTATGATCAACTACGACGCATTTTCAATCAAATTCAAGAGTCTGGTTATTTGGATAAAGTCTATCTGGTCACTCCCGAACCCGAAGTTGAGAGCAAGGAGGAGGGGGAGGAGTTTGGTGAAGTTATTGAAGGCGAAGAGACTGTTACTGTGGAAGAAGAAACCTTAGAGGAGGGAATGGACAAATTGAACGTTTCATCTGAGGATGTGGATGAAGAGTTAGATGAGCAGAATACAGCAACTAGTGTAGGCGGCGAAGATGCAGGTGGATTACCACTGCATGCTAGTGTCGCCAATGACTTGCAACAGCAGCCACAACAACAGCAACTCTTGCCACCGCAAATGGTACCACAGCAAACAGTCAAGGAGCACCTTGATGTACAACAGCAGGTTCAAACTGGTTTACCACAACCACAACAACAAACCAATGCAGCAGTAATGCAACCACCAAACGCTGTTGCTGGGACAGTGGCAAGCTTTCAGGCACCATTACAAGCGGGCGGTGCGGCACCAGTGCATTTAGCAATGTTTGCTGCACAACAAATGCAGGCAGCTCCACCTCAGTTGCAACAGGTGCCGCCCGGCAGCATCATAGGCGTGCCTCAAGTGGCGCCACAAATGGTGCCCGTTGCTCAAGCGCCACCACCGCAGCAGCGACAAATGATGACCAGCCCAGCTACGCCAGCGGGGGGCGTACAATTGCCACAAGGCGCGATTCCAATCCATGGCACACCACAACAACCACCAGGACATTTCACACCCACAACGGTACGCGCTGTAGAACAGGGTTTGTTCCCGCATAACCGGCAACAATTTATACAGCAGCAGATGCGTCCAGTAGCCGAGATAATCGGCAATGGCAGCTTCTACTTTTTGCAGGAGAGCGAACTGGATTCGCCCGAAATAGCTGGAAATGCGCCTATTGGTAGTGTCGTATTTGAACAACAGCAACCGTCGGCACAACAACAAACGCATCAGCAGCAGCAACAACAGCAACCCATTCCACACGAGAATGTTTCACAGGCTCAACAACAGTTGCAACAACAAAATTTATTGAGCCACGGAAGCGAGCTGCAAGCGGCAGAGCTCCACAAGAGCCAGCAACACCACTTACATCAACAACAGCAGATCTTACAGCAACAGCAGCAGCAGCACCAACAACAACATCAACCACCACAGCCGTCTCAACAGCAACAAGCGATTCCGACGCAAACATTTACAAATCAGTCATTCCCACCCATGCAACCGCCGGCAAGCGTAGTAGTATCAACCAGCGCTAACAACAGCAACACTCCGACACTGGTGAGTAGCACACCTAGCCCAATGTTCCAACAGCAGCAACAGCAACAACAACATCAGCAGCAGCAACAGCAACAACAGCAGAAACTTCCACAATTGTTCTCACCTATCGGTGGTCCGGGTTTGCCGCCTCAGGAAGCCATTGCAGCACATCAGCAACAGTTGTTGATCAACGAACAGCCACAGCACCAGCCACCTATGATGATAATGGCACGCTTGGCGGCGCCGCAAGCGCGTATACCTCCACAAAATATAAACCAACAGCTCCAGCAACCGCCACAAGTACAGCAAATACAACAGCCACAGCCGTCATTGGGTATGCAACCTGGCGAGGTACGGGTATCGGATGTGTCTGCAGCTACCGCTGCCGGTTTTCTGGGTTTCGATAATAATGTGGTGAGCTTGACTTACGAGCAGCAAATGCAACAGCAATTGGCTGTCGTAGCAAAAGCGAGTGCTGCTGCTGCCGCCGCTGCTGCAGCTGCAGCCGCTGAGGAGAAGAAAGTAACTGAAGATATTGGCGCACATAACAAGTTCAATGCTGGTGAGTCAGTGGTGGTCAACGAATGGGACGCCATGTCGAAAGCAAATGCCGATGTGCGTTCAGCCAACATCAATAGCAGTGTCGTTACAAACGCAGCCGCATCTGCTGCGCTTGCAAATGCATTGAAGTCACGCACTAGCGTCGTTAATGTTAACGTTGCCGCTGCCAATAGCAGTAGCAGCAGCGGAAGTGGCGGTGGGCCGGTCAGCGTGCTGGAGCCTCCTACGAAGTGGAGCACCGAGATGAATGCGCTTAGTAACCCATCAACGCCAAGTGCAAACAGCGACAATACCCCACCCATTGTGCGCAAAATTGAGTGGACATCGAGCAACAATAGTGGCGGCGGTAGCAGTGGAGGCGGCACCAACGTGGGTGGTGGTGGCGGTTATGCTGATAGCGGCGGTACTCAGTCAAATGCCAACACACATGACTCCAATCACTGGAACTCGAATCAACAACAGGATGGAGGTTAGTAATGATTTTTTATATAGTTATATTTTCTTACAAACCATTCCATTTGTAGCACACTACAACAATGGTCGCCAGTTCCAGCGTCGACGTGGTCGCGGTAACTACAACAACTCGCAGCCGAACGGTGGTGGACGCGGTGGCATGTACTTCCGCAACAACGATAACTCATCGGGTGGATCGTACTACCAGAACGGTGGCGGCGGTGGCGGCAATGTGTACACGAAAGATTCCGGCGCGCGCTACGATTCAGGCAGCTACCGCGGACCGCGCACAGGCAGTGGCGGTGGCGGTAACGGACGCGGCAATGCGCCACCTCCACGCACGCTTGGTGGGCGCAATAGCGGTGGCGGCCAGACCAACACATCATCCAGCTCATACATGAACCGCTCATCGCAGCGTATGCCGATGGGCTTGGATAATAAAAACTGAACCGCAGAGAATGAGAAAATGAAACACATAAATACAGGTTAGAAGCAAACTGAAAATAATGTGTGATGAATTGCAGGATTGAAGCGTTTGAAGCAGAAGGCAGATTGATATGAACCTCTTAAGAATCGTAAATATATACATACATATATGAAAAAAGAAAACAGCAACCACAAACATATACACATACACTTACATATAGAAACTGAAAAAAGAAAAAGAAAAGAATACATTTAACCTTTAATTAGTAGTGTGGCGAAAGTCAAAGCTGCAGTACCATAGTAGTAGCAACAGCAGCAGCGGCAACCACAAAAAAAGCAAGCGAAACGGCAACAATGAAATGTAAACATATACGCGTGGGTGTTAATGTTTAATTTCATAAAGAAAACTTTAAAGTAAAACAAAAAAAAAATGGGGGAACAAATGAAAGCAAAATGCGGAAGAGAAAAAGAATATTATATTTAAAGAAATGCAAAGAAACTTTATGCTAATTTCAATTACAGAAATACTTATTTATGTTCATTTTTTCTAATTAATATTATAAATGTATGTAACTGCTCTTTCATCATGTAAGCCGGAAAGAAAAAAAGAAATCCAAGAATGAAGCGCAACCGAAACAACTAAACGACACAAAAAACAACAGTATAAAAAGCATATTGAAACACGATAACACCATAAATGCATGGTTGGCAGCAACTATAAAAACACAAACAACAAAAGTAGCCGTAGGGGAGTAGCCGTGCAACCGAGTTGAAAGCGCTTCTGTACAAAACAAAAAGCTAAAAAGGAAAACGTACCAAAATTTTTCAAAGATATTTTAAATATTTAGTCGTGTTTAGAAATCTGCTATTATGGCAAAATGAAAATATAAGCTATAGCGGCTTTAAGCGTGCTAAATTTGATAAACAATGAATAAAAAATGATCTGTGTCGTTAGTAGTTGCCTTCAGCTGATAAAACATATTTTGTTTAGTATTTCAACGTGAAGTGAAGAGCAAAACGGAAAGTAATTATACGCCTACCTATTATAATAATTATTATTACTATTATTATTATTAAAATTAATTGATAAAAAACAACAACAAATAAATCATACAAAAATATTACTTATATTAAAAAAAGAGAAAGAAACCACAAACAAAAATTACAAAAAAATCTCAAGTTTATTATTTCACAACGTGGTGTGGGTGGGGTCATGGTGGAAAGGTTGTTGTTGTAGCGGCTACTGAACTCCGCTCGAGTCGTCTGGTTCAGCTAAGAGGAGGCCCAGGAAGTGCACGACTTCCACACGGCATGCGAAGAGGTGCCGTGAGTCATGCGTCGGCTCTCCGCATGCCATGCTCTGGTTGGGCACATCTTTTTTCACATCTTCGTTCACTCTGCTCAGGTACGAGTTTAGCCTGCTGCGATATCCAGAGCGATGTTGGACTGTGGTGCGGGTCTGCCGAGGCAGACAAAGTTCTGTCCCGTCCACGTCGGGTGGTTGTGTGCCCAAAACGGCATTCAGTTGAGTCCAGAGCAAGAATGATAGAAGATAGGCGCCACCTCTGTATTCTCTCCACCGTGAGTCCAGAGGTTGTTTTATGAGCTTCTGGTCTTCGTCCGTCAATTCGTGGTGGAAAGGTAGTTTTATCTACTGTCGGTATTAAAAGTTTACCACTTGGGCTGGTTCAGGTAATACCTTGGTCAATTTTCTTTCATAGCGGTCGTCCCTCGGCTGTCAGCGGCAAATCTTCGAACACATTTCTGACAAAAAAAAGCTATTCGTGTGACACAATCAGGCTGATTATGAACACAAACTCCCTGGGAGTTTTCTCTCTTTTCCCTTCCTATCATGAATAAAAATTCCCTGAGGACTTTTTATATTAAATGGCTTAGTTGAGCTCTCAAAAAAGTGTCAAACCGCTTCTTCGAAGTTCGAGTTTCCCCCTCCCAAGTTTTCGGGGTAAATTCTACTCCCTGGTAGTTACTTATTGGAGGATTTATTTTCCGGGAGAAACAAATTCCCGGAGAACAAATTCCCCGGGAGTATTAAGAATTGGGCTGAATGAATGCCCTTAAATGATCGATAGGCAGGTGAACATAGGGCAAACATGAAGGCGAGACCCAGTCAGCACAGTGAAGGGGCGTAGTTCACTTTACAAGGATAACAAGTGAAATTTATGAAACGCGGTACACCCAGAAAAAATCTAAATACTTACGTTACTAGGTGTTAAGTATTCCTGCAAATGAAATTACTCTAGTTTAATATAATATATTTCCGCATATTTTATATCATATTAATTTTTTGTACAATTAAATACTTAATAGCCTACCAACTTCTTTTATTCTTCACGTATGCTTCTTAAGTTTTTCGCTTGCTTTTTGCTCTTCTTGTGCCTTACAGAGAAACCAAAGGCCCGCAATTATCAATGCTGCACCCACAGTTGATAGCAGTGTAAATACTTCTCGATACACAAGTGCACCTAATATAAACTAATAAAGCAATCATTATGTATTTAAATTAATATAAAATAAAACAATTATTTTTATTTGCAACAATTTTATTAACGATAGCATATAATTGGCAGCAGCTGTCAGCACAGTTGCGGTCAATGTTTGTTCGGTGCATTGTAGCGCTTTGAGAAAGTAACGCCAATTCAACAAATTACAAATCACCATCAATGCAATGGGTAGTAGGCGCAGCAGAATCGACTCTACATAAAAAGCGGAAATTAAATAAGCTTTGTTAATAAGTATAGTACATAAATATTTTACCTACCGAAATAGTAAATTGCATCCGTTGAAAGCAGCTTCGCTAATAAAGGTACTTCCGAAATTTGACTTGGTGCACGACCAAAGAAGCTGCCGCCAGCAGCAAAGGCGCCAGCGATAAAACAATAACGATATTGCTGTAGTGATCGTGACATTCTTGTTTGGATAAAAACTGATGTTTGAAATATTTGCGTGTTGCAATTGAGGCTTTGTATTCTGGATTTTGTATGTGGCACGTTTGTATGTATGTACATATGTAGTTATTCTCTCCGTGCCGGCTACTCTTCAGGAATGTTAATGGGCTTACCGGCATTTACTTTATCGTTGCTATCACATCATTACTGTAATACTTATGCATGCTAATATATAAATATATCTAATTTACAGAGCCCATAAACTTTGTATTTACTACTTTTCTTTTACTTAATTAAACAGCTGTTTCTTGTTTACATTCGGCTGCGGAAATTCACAGGGTTGCATTGAGGATAAGGAAATTAAAAGTTGCATTCATTTTTGCTGTATGGATAGTCCCAATATGTGTAAGTAAAATAGCCAAATTATCAATTCACCAATAAAATAACATTGAAAATATAAATTTCAAGTATTATTTTGAATAAAATTTCACTTCCTTTATTTACCAGCTACTTTTTGTTTGCATTGCTAACGGAAGCCTACAGAGTTGCATGACCGTTAATGTATGTAATTTGGGGAGTAAGAAATGAAATATATTAAAAGTAAGTAGTCGCTTTGTAGCGAGTTGTGGGTAACATGTAAGTTATTTCATTGGTAATGTGGACATTACTATCCCGTTAGACTACTCCCCGATCTCATACAAACGAAGAAGGCTAAAAAGAAATTCTGGCACTTTTCATTCAGATCTTGTCAGAAAGTTCCGTTAAATCAGTCCCAAGATTAGAAATATATCGATGCAGTTTTATTTTAATAATAATTTGCTAGGAAACCTTTTAATAAGAATATTAGCTAACCTTTTGATGCAATGTACTACATATAGCAGCAAAGTCCGTTTTGATTGAAGTAAACCGCGAATTATTTTATTTTAGCCTATTTTTCAATTAGTTTGGAAATCCACTTCTTGTTTGATTTAAATCACTAAGCTTGTTTGGTACATGGATCAAACTATGATATGTATTTCCACCGATTTATAGAAGAAATTTGAGTAAATCTTTACTGTGTATCTATGCCATAAAATATTAAATAACTAAACACCCGTTTGTCCGATTTTCGAATTCGCGGAATAAACAAAAAAAGATTTTCTCTAATAAAGTTTTCTTTAAAGTGATTATCAACAAATCAGGTGATCAAGACTAGAAAATCAATTATGATTAATATAACTTGAGAAGAAACGAAATCATAAAACATGAAAATCGAAAATATGATATTTCCAAACCTCAACAGACCAAATAATATTTCCCTTAAGAACCATATCGAAGTGTGATATTTCCACGAGAACGCGACAAAATATTATACATATTTCCAAATTAAATTATTTTTTATTTTTTTCATATACTTGATTACTAAAAAAATACAAGGTTCATGTTTTATACATACTTTGCAGTCGAATTTTTAAATTACTTAGCAAAATTTTTTAAATGGCTATGCACAAAAAAAAAGAAAAAACCTACCTACATCAATTGGACATTATATTTTTGATCGAAAAAATGTAAGTCAAATTTTAACCCATTTTAACTTAATTTCTGATCGAAAACATATCGATTAAAAAATAACAATTATTCAGGCAGGTTCTGAGTAAAATTCGGTTTGAATTCAAATTGGCAGGGGTTGAAATTCGAGTCGAGTCGTATAGAAAATTGCATGGCATTGCCTACCCTACAAGAACAGTGATAGTCATTTGATTGATCATGTGATACTCACTGATGATGGAGATCTCAATCAAGTACTTCTATCAACTTTTAACATTCCCACGACAGCCGGTTCTACGTACCGGAATGACTCGGGTTTTACCCGACCAAGGGCTGTTGCCTCGGCGATCTAACCCCGTTTAGGTCGGCGAAGTATCTCAGAAGTTGGTCGTCCATAGGGCTACATTCGCTACGTATTCTTCTGCTCAGGGCTGGCATCGAGTCAAACCCAGGGCCAGAAACCTTCACCTGCTGTGTATGCCAGAGACGACTACACCACAACTCCACCTCAGTCAAGTGCAATGCTTGCGAGGGGTGGAGTCACCTCAGAGTCTGCTCAGGACTACGGACACATCGGCAGTGGACCACGTCGTTTGTGGCCCCCTGCTGCTCAAACAGAGCAGCCTCCACGGCTAACCCCAGTCCACCTGAGCAGTCCCACCACAAACACCACAGCACAACAACATAACAACACAATAGACCACGACAGACCACAGAACACACACAACCGCACCACCACCCACACGCCGCCGCCAACAACTCTTGGTTCCTCCTGCAATCTGCACGGCAAAACCTGCCTTGGCTGGTGCCACTTTAGGGCATGTTCAGGTCTGCGCACCACGCGAGACTGGACGAGGAACTTTGAGGGCCCGTGTTGCGCAGCACGGTCGCAAACCTCAACCGCGACGCCACCCACCACCGCCATAGGGCGGCAACCACCTCAGCAGCGCACACAGCTAATGGCGTCACGGCCACACACATCTCTCACACCCCGCATTACCACACGTCTTCCGAACCACATGAAGCTCCTTCAATTTAACTGCAACGGGCTTCAGAGCAAGATCGAGGAGATAACCGCCTTTATGGGAAGGCATGGTATACTGATAGCTGCGGTCCAAGAGACGAAGTTGCACAGCAATTCAACATTGTTGAATTGTGCCGGGTACAACGTGCACCGTCGAGATCGCGAGCGAGATAATGGTGGTGGCTTAGCGTTCATCACGCACCACACCGTGCAGTATCGTCTTATCGAAGCAGACATCGACCGCAGGGATACCACCCTAAAATGTCAGGGCATTGCTATCCGGTCAGGCGATGTTGAGCTCAAAATATCTAGGTGCGCTCGTCAGACGCGCCACAGATGTGGCCACCCAAACAGACAGCTGCTTGCAGAGGAGCCCTCGCCTAGGCACGTCAGGAGGCATCTACGAACTGACGGACGAAGTCCAGAGGTTCATTAAGCAGCCTCTGGACCCGCCAGCATACCGACAGGCCCTGAACGGCATTCTGGACCTGTGAATGCCGTTCTAGGCACACAACCACCGGACATTGACGTGACGGAGCTTCATCTGCCTCGGGAGACAAGAACCACAATAGCCCAACTTCGCTCTGGCTACTGCAGCAGGTTAAACTAATACCTGAGCAGACTAAACGCGGATGTGCCAAATGAGTGTCCGGCATGCGGATAGACCCCACACGACTCGAAACATCTCTTCGCATGCCCGAAAAACCCGACAACCCTAACGGCTTTGTCCCTGTGGACCGACCCGGTGGAGGCTGCACGCTTCCTAGGGCTGCCGTTAGTGGAACTTGACGACAACGACTGAGATATCAACCGATCTGGGCGGGGTTGTTGTAGCCGCTACAACAATAACAACATCAAGAGAAATATGAAAAGCGTGATGTAAACATTTGTGTACATGTGATCTTCCGTCTTCCTCCAACTTATGGCCTTATTTAATGATATCTTTTAAACCAACGCAACATTTGCAAATGTGTTAGTAAGATAAATGAGAATGTGCTAGTTTCCATCACACAATTCTTGTAGGGTAGCACCCCCTGCACCTGCACAGCGGCCAAAGCATGAGTTAAAAAAGCTATCAACCTAAAAAGAAATCATTTTTTTTTATTGAAAATATTTTGCATAATAATATTTAATGATGTTTTTATTTCTTTTTCAATCAACTGTTGTTTGTATTTTTGTTATACTACTCATACGTATTTTTCAAATAGTTTACATAAGTGGTTTCCTTAGCTACATATACTTATTTATTTTCTTTATAAAGAAGGTTTAAATAATTTTTATATATCGCTCTAAATATATACATAAGTACATAACTAAAAATACATAATATAATACAGTTTACATTGGTAATTTAATAGTTGCCACATTGTGTAGAACATTAAGCTTTTCTTTAGTTGAGAAATAAGGCCATAACTTTCAATTCACTTTTTTTTGTTTGCTTCGATGGATTGCTTTAAGTAGCAACAATAAAGCTGTGCGACTGAGCAATCAATTGTCGGAAGTAGCAGTGGTAAATATTTAACAATTAAAGCAAGCAGTTATAAATAATATATACGTACATAAGTCAATTTTTGGAATACAAAGTTGTATGTAAGTAGTAGCTACAGCTGCTTTGTTAATTTCTTAAGCTCAATCGTTGCTCTACCGCACAGCTATAAACCATAACTATTAGCAAACTACGCCTAAAATTTAATTATCTTAATTTTTTTTCACAAAAGTTATACTTATAAAGTTAGGAAAACGAAAGTAATCACTCTTTTTATGCCTGGCATCTTTACACATTTGTGTATTTTGCAAAGTATTGCTTTCAAGTCGTTTTAGTTCACATCAAATTGTAACCTTTTACAAAAAAAGGCGAAAGTAATTTTGCTGAATTGCTAGAAATACACTTCCATACATATACATATATGTACATATATGCATGAACACAAAGTGTAAGTTATGCAGTTTGCGATGAGCACTAATCATTTTCTTTGCACTCCATTTGAATTTGAAATACATTTGTGCCATAATTAGTTCGAGTTGCAGCTTTGCTGTAACGCCTAGCCAAATCTGCGTGCTCTTTTGGTCAGATCAATCAATATGCTGGTGGCAAGGCTTATTGTTAAAATGCTTGCCATTTAAACTTTTAAGCTTCGTAATTAATTTATAAAGTAATAATAGCTTTTCATACATACATAGTACACAAGAGTAACTGGTTCACTAATTTTTTAAATAGTAGCATCTAATTTCGTTTTCGTTTCACCTGCTCCTTTGCATTAACAATTAAAAACAATAAAGAAACAAACAACAACTATAAACGCCTAACTTACTAAAAGACACTGCTTTACATTTGCTTTGCTTGCTCATATGATTATGTATGCGTGAATGCGCAGTAGGCCGCATTAGAAAAAAGTTCGCCGTACACACCTGAATGCAAGGCAATTCCTGAAATTTTTTTTCAAGTTTTGAATGTTTATTTGGTTATATTAAATTTGTTAGTACAAAGTGCAGAAAAAGTAGAGATTAAATAAGAATATTGTGAATTTTTAGAAAAATTCTACATGGGCAGTTTAGAGCCCATTAAATTTTAATATAATGAAGTGCAAGTTTCAAGTGGCTAGAACCCGTTTTTATTTTTAGCAATTTTTTTGCTGACGGTGCTAGGCATTTTCTACCAAATAAAGTCTGCTCGAAATGTATTTTATATGGAATACCTGGTTGTCAGCTAAAAAAAAAAAAATATTTAAAATCAACGCGATTTCTTAGCC